CGTCCACGTGCTGCTGCTACTGCTCGACCTTCAGGCTGTTTTTAACGGGAGAAAAATGAATGTTTTAGCTGCTGTTTATGCCAGATATGAAATTAGAAAAGCTGCTGCCGCCTAATGAAACAAACAAACTGACTCAGTGGGCATCGGAAGGAGGGCAGAGTAAATAACGGAGAAGGAGTTTTCCAGCTCCGGCTGCTTTTCTTTCCGTCTCTCCTCCTTCAGCTGCAGCAGAATCCAGATATTTCTGTCTTGTGAGTGTCATCAGATAATGACGATCAGATGAAGGTCACAGGACCAGAATCTTTGTGATTGCATTAGAGCCCAATTAAAGGCTTCTATTCCAGAACGAGTTAGCCACCGTGCGGCTAACTGCTCCCACGGCGTGATGGATGGAGCGAAAACCCGAACCGATGAGTCACGTTGTTTGAAAGGGGGCAGCAGGAGAAGTTTTAACCGCCTAAACGATGAACTCTGCTAATGTTTCCGAGCCTCCTCCGCTCCGTGACTCACGTGTTTGTGCTCGCCTCCCCTCAGGTATCGTCGGCAGCAACAAAACCCTGCTCAAGTACATGACCACGGCCATCTTCCTCTACATCGCCATCCTGCTCCCCGCCATCGCGTTCGGCTCGCTCAACGACGAGAGCACGCGTGGCGAGATCGGTACGACCTCCAGAGCCTCGCACATTCACGTTAGAGTTAGCTGGAAAGTAAATCATGTATTCATAGAGACAGAAAGCAGCCGCAGAGTTAATAGCTGCTTCCACACATTCCTCTAAAGACCATAAAGAACATGAGAACAGATTCAAATTGCGTTGGTTTCCTCTTTAAACTGACGTACTGTGTGTGTTTGATTGCTCATGTTGAGTCGAACTGGAAGCTGCTTTAACTAGCGATGCACGATATTATCATTTCTGGCCGATACTGATATCGCGATTTCTGATATCGCCGATAACCGATATTACCGCTGTCGATATTCAGTTTTTTTTCACACCGAAAAATGAGTATAAGTGTGAGAAAACTGTTTAGAAGAAGCCCAAATTACACCACGTAGTCGTCTTTATTACATAACAAAACATATTTAAACATATTTAACGTCCATTTAAGTAAAAACATCAGTGAAATAGCAGCGATATCAAATGTCGAGATGAAGGCGCTGTTGTTAGACAATCATCGGCTAAATTTCTTCATCACACCGATATCGATATATCAGAAAAAACACTGATATCGGCCGAGGTGGTCGCCGATATATCGTGCATCCTTATCTTTACCCCATTTTTCTCCTGCACCTCTGTGGAAACCATGAAGATGGAGAGAGAACTTAGAAATGTCTTTTGTGGAAAAAAGACAGTTATATTACCATAAAACACACAAAAAAGAGAATTTATGAATTATTTATGTCCCAAAAAATGAAAAAAAGAGCTGGAATCAACATGTATAATATTTTTCCAAGTGCCCACATATGTTACCACGACTCGGAAAAATATCTTGCCTCTACTAGATTTTTTAAATTTGTCTTCATACTCGTCCCCTATCTGCTTGGTGCAAACACTGCCTGCAGTTAAGCCGAGAACAAATCCCCAGTTGCACCAAGTCGCCCACAATATTTCCTTTTTTCTTTTTTTCTTTTTTTTTTTTAAAGCATCTGCACTTTTTTTTTTTATTTTAGAATAAAAGAGCCCTTCAGAATACAGTGATTTTTGATTAAATATCCTGATTTCTAACTTTCAATTCAGTTAAATTTTCTGACATAATCTCACGTAGCAGACGAGTAGTTCAAGGACTGTCGGGAAGTTGAAAATCCAAATATACAGGGTTTTTTTAAAAGCTGACACGCCTTTCAAACCAAATGGAGGCTTAAATAATGTTGTGTTTTTTTTTTGCCTTTTTGACTTCAGAATTAATCCACAAAAAGCTGGCAGACTCCACTCTGAGATATTATAATATTATTATTTCTGATTTGTTGGGAAGCAGCTGCTTATTTACACATTCAACAGACACTGATGTACTGATGTATGTCCATGTGAGCCTGGTTCTTTCTCAACTTTTAGCTGAACTCTCAGAAATACATCCAACTATTTAGCATCTTTATCCACCACCTGGTTGATAACTGGGACAGAAAATGTTCCATAAAACCAAAGCAATTCACTAATAAAGTCCAGTAATCGCTGTAAAGTTTCAGATTCCGGGTTAGTTTGACCTCCACTGTTTGTCTCTTCTCCTCTTTTTTTGGATGGTTGAAAAATCCAACTTTTAGAAACCGAGCGACACGCTGCCAAAGTCCAGAAATTAAACTATTTTTGGAAAATGTCTGCATAATCAATCTACCGGGGGATGGAGAAGATGTAATATCACTCTTTAACAAGTTTTTTTTTTTAGCTGTTTTGTGGAGAAAATCACATTATTTCCTCGCGTTAACGTCCCCTATCTGGGAAACAACTGCTTATTTAGACATTCTTTCTCAACTTTTAGCTCAACTTTCTGCTCCTCAGAAATATATGTGACTATTTAGCATCTTTATCCACCACTGGGTTGATAACTATGGCTGAATGTACAGAAAATATGCCATAAAACGAAAAACAATTCACTAAAAAAGTCCAGTAATTGCTGTAAAGTTTCCGATTCAGGGTTGGCATGACCTTCACTGTTTGTCTTTTCTCCTGGTTGAAAAATACAAACCTACACAAACATTTCTGGAACCGAGTGACCTGCTGAAAAGTCCAGAAATTAAACTATTTTTAGAAAATGTCTGCATCACCGGGGGATGGAGAAGAAGCAATATCAATTTTTAACAAGGTTTTTTTTTATTTTTTTAGCTGTTTTGTGGACTAAATCACATTATTTCCTCGCCTTAACGTCCCCTATCTGGGAAATAACTCAGAAACTGGCTCCAGCTCTGCACAAAGCAGCCTCGGCGGCGCACATTAATCAGGACGTCCTGCCGTCTTTCACTCTGCGTGTCTCCTCTCCGTCCAGATGTTCGCAAGACCATCATCGGCCAGAGCATCGGCGGCGTCATCTACTCGCTGTTCGCCGGCTCTCCCCTCGTCATCCCTCTGACCACGGCTCCCCTCGCCATCTTCATCAGCGGTAAGGCTTTCCCCCCACCTTCTTTGTCTCTCTCCACACTTTTCTCCTCGCAGGATTTGGATAGGAGGCTGGTGGGGAGCGCTAAGAAGATTAAGAACTCAAGAGAAGGGAAGCCATCCAGCCAGCCGTGCAGCTACAGCGTCCTCGTCTGCTCCCACAAAGCAGCATCTTAGTAATTAACCTGTTTGTTGGCTAATGAGGGCTCCAGAACATCCCCGAAAACTCTTTTTTTTTTGGTGTGTGTTTTCCTCCAACGATGTTACATAACAGCTGGTTTTCTGAAGGCCTCCGGGTCGGGAGACTTGCTCATCGCATGTAAACTTCACTTTGGGTTCAGAGAGACGCTGCTGTATGTTTTATACCCGACAGCAGGGATGGTTTTTTTCTTTCCTGGTTGGAATTTAAACGATCTTGACGTCTGGAAGCTGCAGAATCGAGGGAGGGGGGAAGCTCCAAGTTGTAGTTTTTGGTTGGGTTTTGCGGTGATGTCTGAAGTAAACGGGTTCTCACGGGAGTCATTATAGGAGGTTTCCAGCAGCGGCAGCAGAACAATGGCCCGTTTGTAAAGTCGTAACTCGTCGCAAATCTGCTCGAAATTACGACTAAATTGTTCTAACAAACCCGTTGCAATTCTTTTCTCCTTTTTTTTTAAGAGTTTGAAGGAATTTCTTTGTGCTTGTAGCTGTGAGGGGGTTTCTGGCACACACAGATGATCGATATCGTTCTTTATTAGACTCGTTGGGTTGACTTTTAATGATTAAATCAGCTTGAATCAATCCCCTCCTCTCGGCTCGTTGTTTGTTTGCTCCTCGTGTTCAAGTTCTCAGATGCATCTGATTGAATTTTGATGATTTTTTTTTGGAGGGAT